AGTTACATAAAAATTGTCTATTAAGGACCCTAAGTAACATTTATGGTAACATTGATGATAAACAAGCTACTCAATTCTTTTTTGAATGGGTTAATGAGCAAAATAGACCCTAAATTCTTGCTCAAAAAGTACCTGAATCTTGAATTCTTAAAATGTGTAAAATAAATCCTGAACTTTTACATTAATAGCAAAATGAACTCTGCTTATTAAATTTTTAAACACCATTACTATTCACTTGGTATTGTTCACTGTGGGCCTTAGTTAATGCTGACGTGTCATTGTCATTTAGCACCACAGACCTTAAACTATTATGTTAGTAGCGTTTTGGGCCTTGAACTTTAAAATTTTGAGCAAATTACCCCCACCATTTATGTGTAGAATGTTAATAATTATGTAGACTAAATTAGCCTCAGCATGATTCGTTGAGATGAATGCATCATTGGTTATGGCAAACAACTCATAATTTCGTGAAATAACATTTTTTGCCCTTTTTTATAATGTTTTCTAAATGATTTGTATCTCATATTTCCGTATGACTTATAACTCTAATTTAGTCTTATTTTAAATAATATTTATCCATTTAATGGTGAAAATTTAGGATCCCATTTGAAAAGAAGTTTAAATATCATAGGATTTTACAAATAATAGATGCGAAAGTCGATGATTTCATCAACGAATTTAAAATTCAAATTAATCCGTTAATTAAAATTATTTATTATTTAAACTTCTTTTCAAATGGGATCCCAAGTTTTCACCATTAAATAAATAAATAAATATTATTGAAAATAATATTAAATTAGAGTTATAGAGAATATGGAAGCATGAGATATCAATTGTTTGGAAAACATTCCAAAATGAGCAAAAAAAGGTCATTTCACAGAATTATATGTCGTTCACCATGGCTAATGATGCATTTATTGTGATAAAAGATGCTAAGGCTAATTTGGTCTACATAATAATCAACATTCTATACATAAACAGTGAGGTAATTTGCTCAAAATTTCAAAGCTCAGGGTCCAGAACACTACTAATATAATAGTTTAGGGTCTGTGGTGCTAATTGATAATGATACATCAGCATCAACTGGGGCCCATGGTAAACAGTACTGCATGAGCAGCAACGGTGTTTAAAAATTTAATGATCAAGGTTCATTTTGCTATGAATTTTAAATTTTAAGGTTTATTTTACACATTTTAAGAGTTTAGGATCTAAAACGCTTTTCGAGCAAGAGTTTAATGTCTATTTTGCTAATTAACCCTTTTCTAATTTTTATCTATTTTTTTCTTAAGGTAATTGTACAGTCCATATATATATATATATATATATTTGAATAGATCTTGTGGTAGTGGTAGAGCCAGTAATTTAGCCAGGTTGGGATTAATCCAGGCCGAGCTTATTCGAATCAAGCTTAAAGTATTCTACCCTATTAAAAAAGCTCATATAGCCAAGTTCAGTCCTAACTTTTTTTGGCCGAGTTCAGGATGACTCGTCAGGCTTGACCAAAATTACTAACTCTATATACTTATAGAGTTGAAAATTTTAGCTGTTGGGCTTATTTAGATAGAGTTCATTTTGGGTCAGACTTATTCGAATCGAGGTTAAAATATTATACCCTCTTAAAAAAGTTCGTATAGCTAAGCCCTGCCCTAACATTTTTTTGAGCGGTTCGAGCTAGTCCATCGGGCTTAATTTGAATTACTAGCTCTATGGTAGCCTATATCTAAAGAATTTATGAATCATTTTTATCTCTAGTCAAATTACCTAATAATTCACATTAGTAAAAAATAAATTCAATTGAAAACAATTCGCAGTTTAGTCCCTCATAGTTTTCTTTTCATGCTAGTCCTTGTCCGTCAACTTTATTTTCCTAATATCTTTCCTTCTCAATTACTAAAATTCATTTTCATTTTTATCTCAAGGATCTAATATAGCTTAAGACATCTCCTAAAAGCCTCTAATGTCACCAAGCATTTACCTACAAAATAAATCCAAGATATTACAATTTCACCTATTTCATTCATAGCCTTTTTTTTTAAAATCTCTATTCTAGTTTATAAGCTATTATATCTAGTCTTTTTTTTTTTTTAAGTTTTGAGACTTCATTTACTTAATTTTTTATATTGGAATCTTAAGAAAAGGTTTTTCTTAAGTGTTTGTTATTCTTGCAAAGGTTTTGTAAGTGATTGAGTGAGGTTTTTGTGCTAAGATTGTAAACACTTAGTTTAAGCTTTTAGAATTTAGTGAAAACTCTCAAATGTGATCTTAAAAGCTGGACACAAGCTATGTGGTTAGATTGAACCAATAAAAATTCATCATGTCAAGCTTTTTTCTCTTAATCTTATTTGCATTAAATTCTTTTCATTTAGTACTATTTGAAAAATATATTTTGTTGGTTCATAGACTAAAGCATGGTGCAAAATAATTCTTGAACTAATTAAATCATAGTGCCCAACGCCTATTGTCTATTTTAAACCAATGGATGTTTATTCAATATTGTGGGCCCTATATGAATTTAACAAGTGGAACGTAGTACCTTCATAAAAACATATCTTTCCTTCCTCTCATCTACTTCTAATATGGCATTTCAATCCCCCAAAAAGAATTCTTCCATCTCCTCACTCACTACCTCACTCTCATTCTCCTCTTTATGCCTCTAACAATGGCATTTCCTTCCTTGCTCACCAACGGTATCTTCTTCTTCTTCTTTGCCACCCTTTATTTATGCAACTAATGGAGCATCTCACAAGATTACCTCAAGCTTTCTCTTCTCCATAAGAACTCTCTCACCTCCCTAGCTCAACTTCTCTCCTATGACACCTACTGTCTTTTCGTCCTCTTCTCTACACTTTGGAATTCCCTTGACTCCATTGCTGCAGGTTTTTGTTGCTACCATTTCCAAGAGAAGGCTTCCATATCCTTTTAACCTTGCTATGTTGTATGAAGTCCCCATATCGGATACAAATTTGGTGATTACATCGTCTAAGTTCACTATATGTAAAACCTTCGTTCCTTGGCTCTCTAGCTTCTCTCTAAAGCTCTTTCTTGTTATACAGATTGCTACATAGCCAATATAGCTAGACTAGTATGGCATAGGTCTTTGGTTACCTTGTACCCTGTACTTAATAACCCACAACCATGAAAGATCTTGTTTTGTGGGTATTTACTAGAAGCATAGAATGACAAAGAAGGGTCGATTGCCAATCATGGAAACAAGCATCCATCATAGTGGTGTTGAAGTTGTTTGCAATGGGGCACACAAGGTTGAGGTTGTTAGGTCTCTTCCATAATAGGATCCTAATTAGGGTTGAACTTGTTGGTGAAGGAAGTCATTAATGTCAATGGTGTAGCCACTGGAGAGAGCTATGATGTTTGTTTGCAATTTTCATGAGCTACAACATCGTGTTTCTTTGACATGGAGAAAGGGTAAAGAGAGGATTTAAACAAATGGACCCCATAATTTAAAATAAAGTAATGGACATTTGTTTAAAATTAACGATAGGTACTAGGTGCTATGATTTAATTTGTTCATGAATTAATTTCCACAACTTTATAGTATAGGATATCTAGTGATCTTTGAAAAATAGTTTAAAGACAAAATTTATTTTTTAACCCAATTTTAAATAGCACTTAATTCACCATCTCTTAGGTGCCAGCGTATCTAACACTACAATGTGTAATCTAGTTTAATTTAAAGTTGATACCACTATTCCTTATTGTCACATCTTCTTCCGAACTCAATCATTGAACAAGGTTTTCTAGGACACTTGGTGGTGAATGATGACATGTGGCATCTTCTATCTTAATTTCATTCAATTCCTTTTTTAACTTTCTAAAGTAGTCATCTAGACCTTCTTTGATGCAAGGTATTGAATTTTGAGGGATTGGGAATGGGTGTGGGATCAGGAGCAAGAATCAATTTTAAAATGATGTTTGATATGTGATAGGACTTAAAAAAAAGACTTAGATCAAACCAAAAAAAATGAGCTAAAAGACACAATTGCCCTTATCTTCTTCCTTCCATTCTCCCAATCTTCATGTGCTTCAAATCAAATACTGAAGCTTTACTAAGGTATCTTCAACACAAATCCAAATTCAAAACATCCAGATCCAAGTTCAGAAAATCTAAATTCATCTCTACAAAACACCTTCACCTTTCCCTTACCATCACTATGTGAGGCTATCATAAGACTGACCTAACCGCTATGGGGCACCAAAATGGGTAATCATGAGTGGCTGCGTTGATTGTCGTTGTCGTAGCATCTTTCCACAACATTTAAATAGGTAAACAACATAGATTTCGCAAAGCTCATGATAGCAACATCAGCAAGGACTATGGTCAATGGAATCGACATGGATTTGGTTTTGAAATATTATGCAGTGACATAGCTAAAAAAGCTTGTGGGAGAGACTAGATAGAGGAGAGGTAGAGGGCAACGGCAAAGCAAAAGAGGGGGTAGGGTGGAGAGCAATTTGGTTAGAAGATAATCAATCCTAAGATTGATTTTTCAACACTGAAAGATAGGTGATTATTGAGTAACAAACATGAAAAAATGGCATTATCTAATGCTAGTGTCAATTTTACCCCCTCAATCCTCAGGAGATGGGACTCCCCATTTTTCTCTTTCTTTTTCCCTTCATTTCTCCAATCTTCACCATTCATACTATCTTATTAAATGATTTTTTTAATTATAAAATTAATGAAGAGTGAAGATGGGAAAAAAGGAGAGAAAATGAGAGAGAAAAAAAAGAGAGACAATTAATCCCTCAATCCTCCTCATCAAATAAGGATGATTATATGGTTTGTCATGTGAGAAAATGTTATTACTTATCTTTTTCTTATTTTATAAATAATATTGACTCTTTGAGTAAAAAACTGTTTTTTTATCCTCGGACGTTGATGTCATTCCCCCTAAAAATTTCTAAAATTCATGGGCTTTTAACGTCCCTAAAAAAGTAACAAATCAGGACAAGACACCAAAGATCATTAGATTAGTCTACTCTATCCATTTCCTTCAACGATTAACTGTAAGCTTCAATACAAGTCCAGCACTTAACCCACCCGGGTCTCGGTCTGTTGTCGAATTTCTTCCTTATATGATTCTTTTTCACTGAAGTGAACTTCAATCTTTCATCGGGAATATCGCATGGCATCTTATCTCAGTCATCTCAATCCCTCCTCGGCCATTGTGACGTCGTTTGCTGTAAGGAATGAAAGCATTCCTTCTCCCTTGTGGAATTCTCCTGTTCGGTTAAGAACCCAAGTTAGAAACCGTTTTCAGCTGAATTCTTCAAATGGGAATCCACTAGATACTGTTTCACCTCGGGATGGTGAGTTTTTGGCTCCGACAAATTTTGATCCCGATTCACATTCTGTTTTGTTTTAAGTTTCTTCAATACATTTACTTGATATTATGAAGCATAAAATTCGTTTGATCCCTGTTAAATTGTCTTTAATTTGATGATCTTCCTTGGTAACCTGAACCTTTTTCAGATTTTGCTAAAAGATTTGATCCTTGAGGCGTTACATATTTGTTTTTTTTTTTTTTCCAAGTGTCTGCCATTGTACTATTTTCGTGTAAGAGGAAGACCATAACCAAATAAGAAATTCCTCAACTATTTTTTATTTGTTTTTTATATTATTTGATTCAACTCTGCCTGTGTCAACTGGTATGGAATTTACCTAGAACGTCACAAATTCTTAACACCTGCTTATCAGTGGCAAAACTTTAGGTCATATTTTGATAAATGATTGAACAGCTCGCTCATGATTCTTGTCTGCTGTTACCGGGGCAATTGATTCAGTATTTTGGTCAGATGCATTACCACTTACCAGACTACCGGTATTAATCTTTAACTGAAATTGGAGGAAATTAGTTGCAGATAAAGTTAGGGTGCTTCCTCCCTTCCTGGTTTCTACCCATAGAGATATAATTTAAATTATTTTGAAGAGCACCTATTGATTTAACAGCCTTTACCCTTCTCATCTGTTTCTGTTATGGTAAGAAAATCACGTTTGTTTGGTTGAGTTTTGAGATTTCCTGACACAAGGAACCAACTTTGTCTTTGTAAACAGATAAATTCATGTTATTTATTATTTGACCTTGTCCAAAGTTTTTGTTTTGAAGCCCTGATACCATGAGGAAAGCAGCTTGTTTAGAATAACTATAACAATAAGTCATAATCTTTGATTCCTGAAGTTGGTTTTTTTCTCCCTCATGACAAGAAATTCTTCTTGATTTTTTTGATATACCACCGCTTCCTCTTCTAGCTAGTATAACATTCTTAATCTTATCACTTCTCTAATTATCATTTACTTGAATTAGGTCACCCCCCTCTTAATATATACTACAGTCAATATTAAAACCAACAGGTGTTCAAAGTTCTTTGTTGTAGTCTTAGTTGGTGTCCAGAGTTTTAACCAAGATTGTTTCACACTTCACATTTAGAGCAAATCAGTTGCATCTTCTCATCTTTGTTTCTTTTTGTTTTGAACTTTTCAAGTGAAGAATATTCATGTTTCCCATTGCTATTCTATGATAATTTTCCTTACTCTCTTCTCCCATTTAAGCTACTTGGTTCCTTAGTGTCCCCATATGTCATCACTCATTGTGTACAGTTAACTATTTTGGCCTCAATTTGAGATTGCAACATTGGTAGAGTTGTCTATGTTATCACTTACACACAATGAAAGAAGCATGATGATCTGGGTTTCAAAGTATGAGGTGATAACCCAGTTAGTGGTGCTCCCTTTATCCATGACAAATGTTTCATGTGAAAAAAAGAAAAGAAAGAAATCTGCCATTAAGTGCCAATCACTTTGGAATTTTAGGACCTTCATGATGTCTTGTTGATCTTATTTAAAGAACCATTTTATGCGTCTATAGAATGTGCTTCCATGACTGTTAAGTGTTGACTGCTTGTGCATTTTTTCATAATTGAATTTATTTAGCCAATTATGTATTGCTCCATGCTTTAAGTAGGGTTAGCCGGAAGTGCATTGCCCAAAAAACACATCAAGCCTCAAACAGGGGAAGAATCATTTCCATTGTCTGTCTCAGAGTTAACAGAATCCAACCTTAGCATAACTGTTGTTGGAGCTTCTGGAGACCTTGCCAAAAAGAAGATTTTTCCTGCACTTTTTGCCCTCTACTATGAAGATTGTCTACCTGAGGTTTTCCTTTTTTGTTGGGCAGTAATGCTTAAATATTTGCAGCATAAAATCTGAGCTGGCATGTTTGTAATGTTTATGCAGAATTTTATTATATTTGGATATGCTCGAACTAAAATGACCACTGAAGAGTTAAGGAACACAATCAGCAAAACCTTAACATGCAGAATCGATAAGAGGTATTTATTTCTGTGAATTTAACATGATAACTCAATGTCACAATATTTTCTTTCTCCGTACTTTCTTCCATTTGGTAATATATTGAGACAAGGTTGATATTACAGGGAAAATTGTGAAGATAAAATGGATCAGTTCCTAAAAAGATGCTTTTACCATTCTGGTCAGTACAGCTCTGAGGATCACTTTGCAGAACTGGACTGCAAGCTGAAGGAAAAAGAGGTTATATATCTATCTCTCTTCTGATTATTCTTTTTTTGTATCACATAATGAGACTGCAGAACTGGGATTAAGGCAGAGATAGCCATTTATAGAACGTCACCAACCAATACTTAATCTCATCAAAAAGTTGTTATTGCACCAAAAATATTTAAGGCGGTAAATTCATTTTATGACCATTAAATATATTATAAAGACTCAGGCAATATATTTACTAACTTTTCTCACATTCTATTTGTTTATCTAACCTAACATAAATATTAGTGATACTTAAATACCCTGAACTGTCTTGCCATTTGCTTACTTTCCCATAGTAGGTTGTTGATGTTGAACTGGTCTTGGGAGCCAAAAACAATAATTTCTCCATGAAGTTCAGTATTTCTTCATGGCTAACTGCAGGGTACTAGGGTGCAGAAGCTTTTAGGTACTGTCTTCAATCATACAGTCGAAAACATTTTCCATGTGGTTTAATTCCTTAAATGGATGCCTGAGCATACTAGATTGGAGTTTACATGATAGGTTCCTGCCTTGAAAGCATGGACATTAATATGATCAAGGGACATGGCACTAATGTGGATGCCACAGCACAATAAACTCTGAAGTGCCTATATATAATACAAATTGTTGCATCATGTCTAACACGGGTTTTCAACATATTCCAGACATATACATCAGTTTTTTTTTTTTTTTTTTTTTTAACATCCATTCTTCACAGGTTTCTTCCTTGTCATCGAATTGAAACTATTATGCCTTGTTAATATTTATTTCAGGGTGGAAGGCTCTCGAACAGATTGTTTTATTTGTCAGTACCTCCAAACATATTTGTAGATGTTGTGCGATGTGCCAGCCATAAAGCTTCATCAGAAAAGGGCTGGACAAGGGTTATTGTTGAAAAGCCATTTGGTCGTGATTTACAATCATCTGGTGAACTAACGCGATGTTTGAAGCAGTACCTCAGTGAAGAACAAATATTTAGGTGCATTTGGTTCCTTTTTTCCCCCCTAAACAAGCTATAGAGAAATGTTTGAACTCATTGCCAACTGTTCAGGATTGATCATTACTTGGGTAAAGAGCTTGTGGAGAACCTGTCTGTGCTTCGCTTTTCAAATCTTGTTTTTGAGCCTCTATGGTCCAGGAATTACATTCGCAATGTGCAACTCATATTTTCCGAAGATTTTGGAACAGAGGGAAGAGGGGGGTGAGTCATATTCTTTATGATGCTTAAGAAAAATACATTTCACTGATCTAACTATATCTTTTTTCCTTTAGCTATTTTGATGACTACGGAATAATAAGAGATATAATGCAAAATCATCTTCTACAAATATTAGCACTATTTGCAATGGAAACACCTGTCAGCTTGGATGCTGAGGACATCAGAAATGAAAAGGTAACTATGTTGTAAATATTCTTAGGACATCAGAAATGAAAAGGTAACTGTGTCTGTTGTAAATATTCTTAGTTTCTTACCTCTTGTTTTGGTTCAACTTTCTAGAGCCTCCTAATGCATTTCTGAATTTACTTCAATTCTTCCTCACAACACCCATTGAAGTTATTGGTAACCATATTTTAATCAATTTATATGTACTATGTCTGTTGTGGGTTCTGCACTTCATCAAGATATTGTAAATATTGAAACTTACATATTTCTATATATGATTCATGAATATGTTCCCCAAGCAATTATATATGTATCAATGCACACTCACCTGCCTTGTCCTATGCTATAACTTTCAGAATTTGGCATGTCCTCATGGCATGTCGTGTGCCTATCGTGGTACAAAAGTCCCTTAATTAATATTTTATTGTTGTATTTTTTTATTGTCTCAAACTTGTAATTAATAATTTTACAAGACATGTATAAGATTTTATGGATGGATTTTTCATTTACTTGAAAACTTAGGATTTCTTTAGTTGAATATTATTGTTTTTCCTAGTTAAATATAAATATTTTTGTATATTTAAATTAAAATATATTATTTTAATCACAACCAATCTAACTTCAGGTTGACCCTTGATTGAATTATTGACCTTTAACCAGTACTTTGACCAATTCAATGATCAATTCGGTTTTTATTACCTTGGTATCTATGTTGGTGTACTGATTTATTATTATCGTAACTCAGGTGAAGGTTCTGAGATCAATGAGACCATTGCAACTTGAAAATGTTGTTGTTGGTCAATACAAGGGCCACAGCAAGGGTGGCAGATCATATCTTGGTTACACAGATGACCCAACAGTTCCAAATGGTAGTATTACTCCAACATTTGCAGCAGCAGCTCTTTTCATCAACAATGCTAGATGGGACGGCGTTCCTTTCCTTATGAAAGCTGGCAAGGCTCTCCATACTAAGCGGTATGAGTTTTTTTCCCCCCATAAAAATGAGTTTGCCAATTTGAATTTGCCGTGTATGCTATGATCTATGAAGTTATATTTACAAAAGAGTTCAAACATGTATCCAGTGCAGAAATCAGAGTACAGTTTCGACATGTACCAGGTAACTTGTACAAGCGCAATTTTGGAACAGACCTGGACAAGGCTACAAATGAGCTTGTACTTCGCGTGCAGCCTGATGAAGCTATATATTTGAGGATCAACAACAAAGTTCCTGGTCTGGGAATGAGACTAGACAGAAGTGATCTAAATTTGCTTTTTCGAGCAAGGTATAAATATTGTCAATATATGACTGCATAGAATTGACTGAATCAACTTTTAAATGTAAGATTGATAGATTATTCATAATTAATAATAATAATTTAGCCATTCATGTTTAGACTTTAGTTCACTTGTTAAAATAACTAATCTATTTAAAATATTTAGAGTCAAGTTTCATGAGTCCATGGGAGTAAAATATTCAAAAGTATCATTGATTCTTATATGTTGATATGTGAGTTTCCAAGGTTCTTAGGAGGTGATATCACGGAATGTATAAACTTAATAGATTGAATCGAGAAAACAACAACAACTTAACAGATGCATATGGTGTTACCCTCTCTGCAATGTATTGGAATGAACTTTATCCTCAAGTTATGATTCAGTTGAGGAGAACGGAGGATAAGAGAAGGTAAGGAAATATTTGGTTTAGATCTAAAAAAAGAAGATAGTTCAAAGTAAACCTTTCATATCCTTCCATTCTCCATTCATCTCGGTTCAAACGTACCCTTAGAATCCATTTCCTGCAATCCTTGTCAACCGTTTTCCTCAGCATATTATATTTAGCATTTACATCTGTTATTATATATTATCTATTAAGATTTATTTTGTTGAGATTTCAAGAATATTTTGTATTTATTAGTCATTATTAGGATATTATTAGCACACTTTTTCAAGTCTTTTTTCTTCTCTTCTGACTTCTTTCATGGTATTAGAGCCTGATTAATCAAGTTTTTATAGTTTGTATAGTTTGTAGCTTGTTTTGTATAACAAAGCTTTATTATGGTATTAGGGTATCTTAAGTTTGAAGGAGAGTGTTCTGATGTATTTAGATTTATTTTTTAGCTCAAGCAATACAAGTTATTTTAAACTCAAGGGTATCTTGAGTTTGAGAGGGAGTGCCACGGTATATGATCTATTAAGATTTATTATATTGAGATATTATCTTTTGAAATTTATTCTATCAAGATTCAGAAATATTTTGTATTCATTAGTCATTATTAGAATATTTATTAATTATTATTAGGACAGTCTATATATTGTAAATTTTTTCATCAATAGAGTTCGGCACTTCCAAGTCTCTCTTTCTTCTCTTCTAACTTCTTTCAATGTCTTGTCTGAATTTTGTGTCACATTATTACAACACTCTTACTTTATGTGAAGGTATCCAAGTGAAATACCGGATGCGTATGAGAGATTACTTTTGGATGCAATCGAAGGTGAGCGAAGATTGTTCATCAGAAGTGATGAGCTTGATGCAGCTTGGGCACTTTTCACCCCTTTGCTGAACGAACTTGAGAACAAGAAGATTGCTCCTGAGCTCTATCCCTACGGCAGTCGAGGACCCGTCGGGGCCCACTATCTTGCTGCAAAGCACAATGTAAGGTGGGGAGATCTAGGTAACGAGGATTAGTGCATGTTTGGTATTGGAAAATGCTTTCTAGAAAGGAAATAAGAAATGCACCTATTTCATTTTCTATCAAGATATATTTCCCCTTTCCTTTCTAGAAATAGGTGTGTTTCTTATTTCCTTTTGAGAAAGCATTTTTCCCCGTACCAAACATGCACTAAGATTTTGGATCAAAACAAAATTGGAAAAGGAATATACATAACTAGAGAAAGGAGGAGGAATCACTCATTTATGTCTGTTTTGGATATCATCATTTTCTCTCCATCTTTCTCTAAAACACTTTATAGAATCCATCTTTGAAGATTGATAGGTGGCAGAGGACTTTACTGTGAATATGCATCTCATTATAGTTTATTTTTGCATGATCTTTAGATGACTTCTTTTCTGTCACCTCCTCTTTGTATAATAAGATGTTCCATGATGTAAGAACACCAGATTTTACCTCACCAGCTAGCTGCTATCACAACTGCACAATATACAAAATTTTCTTTTTCTAACGGGGAGAGAGGGAGAGAGAGAGAGTGCAAATAGTGCTTTTACTCTGCACGTGTTTTTTTCTTAATGTATAATGATAGTTGGAGGGTTGGTTGATATTAGAGGTGATAATTTAAGTGGGACGGGCTTATTTGGGCTAAGTTTAATTAGAGCTGGCTTATTTAGACTTAAAATATCCTAACATATAAAAAATCTCATATAACCAACCTTGGCCTTAAGCTCTTGGGTTTTTGGATTGGTCAAGAATACTTAAATTATTAAATATTATTTTATTTTATTTTACTTTTTAATCTAATTTCAATTTTTTTAAAAAAATTAATATTTTCATTTTTTATATTATTTTATTAATAAAAAAAGAATTTGGGTATTTGAGCTAAGCTTATTCGGGTTCGGGATTGGTTTGAATTTTTTTGAGTTAATTCATGTGGCCCAAAGAAGTCTAGCATAAAAAAAATCTCTTAAACTCCTAAGTTTGACCCTAAGATGCTTATTTGGGTTTAGGCTGACTTGAATTTTTTTGAGTTTATTCACGTGGTCCAAAGAAGTCCAGCGTAAAGAAAATCTCTTAAACTCCTAAGTTTGGCCCTAAGATTTTTTGAACTTGTTTTGGCTCCACCTCTAATTGATATAAAAATTACTTATTTTCTCTAAATTTTATTATAAGACACTTCTAACCATTTCACTGAATTAAGGAGTGGTAAGTTAAATTATTAATTTTTTTTCTAAAAATGGATTAAATTTGCATTGCTTTTTTTTTTTTCTCATAATTAATGACTTTACATATGGAGAATATTGAAAAAAAATAAATTAATATCTCATTAAGTGACTTATAATAAAGACCACTTACCTTTTTTAGAAGGTGCTACATAATAAGAATCAAACGAAGTTAATTAGTTATTTATAAAATAAATGTGTTAATTTTTCTAAAATGTCCCTCCTTTTAATCATCTACGTTGAAAACTATCCGTATTAATTGAAAACCTTAATGTGAATAATGTATTGAGGTAGTTTGGAAAAATAATAGTAATAAATGTAGAAGTAAAAAAAGATTGAGATCTTACATCTAGGATCAAAATAAATTTGTTAACTAGTTCTTACATTTAGTAAATTCTGTGTATCTCAGTAAAAGAAAGCAGCATCAATGAAACCGAATTCAGCTTCTCTTTAAGATTTAAAATGTGTGCCTTTAATTGTGTGTTCGATGCAGGGATTCTTTGGCTTTGATGGCCTTGGTCTGTAAAGGTTGAACATTGAAAAAGTAATTCGGTCCCTTATTTTCATTTGCCGTCTGGAATTAATCTCTCTAAATATTTTAAAATGGTCTTTTAAGTTTCAAATTTTTACTTAACAAAGAAAAATGTTAGCGCTTGTAAATCATTTGTTGGCATTAAAAAAAAAAAGGCATTTGAAAATTTCCTTAAGTATAGAATTAATTAATTACCTCTAGCCCACGGTAATTTTTGGGTCAGAAATATATCAACCGCGTATTTAAAAAAAATATTAACAAGTTTTTTTTTATATTATTTTTTTGGGTTCCCCTCCAGTGTCTCGGATTCTTGATTCAAATTAATCCGCTCAATAGTTAACAGCTTCTTCGGGAGATATGCCTTATAAGTTATATCAAAAATTTAACCCTGACTGCATATTCAGAGCTTGAGCTTGAACCTCTAATTAAGAATGACCAACTTACTAGTTGATCAAAGTGACTAATAATATTAACAAGTTTTTATGCTTTTTGGTGGACCACGAAGTTAAATCCACATCATAAATATGGATACTGTGGCCAGGTCATTTTTTTAAAAAAAGTTTCTTGGACAAGACATCAAGATTAAAGCTTGAAACAGTTTAGATCCCAATAGTGCATACATGAATCTTATTAGCAATGGCAAAAACCAATGAACAACCTCATGTTTTTGTTCAGTTTTTTATTAGTTAAAAGTCAGTTTGTTAAAAATTTATTTGATAAAAATTAATTTGGTAACAATCAATTATTATAATGAAATGTTCTTTACCTATTCATCTCCCTTATTTTTTTTTATTTTTATTCTACTAAGTAGGAAACCATGAGGTTGTATCGAGCCCTGAAGTTCACCCCATGTCTAATCGTGTTTAATAAATTTCTTATTTTGGAATAGCATAGGCACCGGTTTGAAATCTTTCCCAAGCTTGGTTAGGAAAAATTTCAAGAAACATTCAGTAGATTGTCATGGCCCAAGAGATTAAGCCCATATTAAATGAGTCTAACGAGGGGGATGTAGAGGGCCATGACCCAATGTCTGTCACTACTGAGGAAAGGCCCAGAAGAAGTAAGAGAGTCAGGAAACCCACATGGAAGCTGTGTGAATTGAATTGGGAGGGAGATGCATAAATAGATGACCACGGATCCTGTTAGGCAGAGTTAGTTATGAATGATGTTCCCTTTCTAAAATCTTCTTCCTGACAAACCTCTGTAATTCTCTGATTATAATTTCCATTTACTTGTCATCATTTCCTTTTCACTTTTGTGTGCAAATCTCTAATTTTGAATACTGTTTTATCAATAAAATAATATTGTTGCATTCTATTTCTCAATATTTCTTTTGATTTTGGTTTTTCAAGAATTGTGTACGTGACATAGACTCTCTTACTGTTCTTAAAACTAGAGCTAATGGAGTTAAAGCATTGTGCAATAGCACTAAAAGGTTACTAAGAAAACATGTGCATTTCAATATAATCAAGTCAAAACTAGGACCATGAGCTACAGCTCGTGCCACATGCGCCGCAGCATGTGACACAAAGACCCTAGCGTGACTCTCTATGCTGTGCACTATGGCATGTGGATACATGCATTGTGGTGCACACACTTAAATTTGCTGTCATGTTGTAGATTCTGGTGCGAACTTTAGATGTATGTCATTTTTGCATTTGATATCTGATTGGGATGGTTCAAGCGTTCACAATCTAACGAATGACATTGATTTCATTTCAATATGATATTTCTCTCAAAAGTTGACCATACAATGCATTTTGACCATTTGAAGTAAAAATTTATCACTTGAGCATCATTAATTGAAACCGTATTCCATTAGCTACTTTTAGGGCTTTACCCACATCCAAATGGACAAATACCACCTGATTGATGAATCATTTACACAATACAATATGTATACACACATTTAGCCTATAAATCACCCATAACACATAATTCAAGCCAAATTTTATTTCTCATTCTCAACCTCGTGCAAGGCTAATTTCATAATACACTTCACACATTTGTCATATCTTTACACAATACCCTCCATCTACTAGTCCACATTATCATTTCATCACATACACACATATACATAGGGCTAGGGACCCAAAACTAGCAAACATAATATTCACCACATTATGCACACATTTTGATTCTTAAGGCAACTTATACATATTCATAACTAACAACATACAAGTTCATTATATCAAATTCTTACAAAGGCTTTAATAGGAGATCCTAAATCAGCCAATGTCTTTCCCCTTTGAAACACTAGTGCCAGGACATGAAAAATATAAATAACCATGTGTGAGATAAAAATCTTAATAACCAATATAGTTCATTGAACGTTTATTACCATAGATAACCATGTTGAAGTAGCAAAATTAGAGTAATAGCAATTTTATATCAAAATATATAAAAATTTCCTCTTTTCAAACACTTTCATACAATTTTCAAAAATAGCATGATCATCAAACCATGGACCTCCAATGCTCCTCGATAACCATAAGCTTTACTGAATTAATCACCTATTAGCTCGAGCTCACTTTAGATGGTAGAAACACCTAGCCAAAGGTAGTCTATCCTACCTACGGACTATAAAATCCCTCATTTCACACACTTGTGATAGAGGTGTCATTGACTCCTAACTATACCTTAACGGGTATTAGGAAGTTGCTAGACTACCCAGATGTCCCATGGTAATAATCTCATAATATGCTGTACCAAATTACCTATGGTATTAGCCCATAATATGGTGTAACGAATGTCCTATGGTACTAGCCTGACCATATGAATTTTTCACTCACATCTCCACACACACACATCTCCACGTATTTTGGGTGAACTCCTAACCCTTATGATCATGCTTTTTACATAATTTTTGCTCCTTTCTCTCCATAATTTTCACCATACATATATATACATATATCAAACAAATCTTAGAAAATCATCACTTTTATTATACAAATTTGATTTCATGCTAAAACCATTTACAACGCTCAATTATGTATAAAACTCATAAAATAACAACTTCACATTTACTCTTACACAGTTATAACAGTTAATAAACATAATAAATTATATGATTATCTCAACCTTTCTGTTTCTTAAAAAGGATTACCCATTTTCCACAACCCCATTCAAGTCTCTTTCGCTATTCAACTCTTGTACACAAGAACCTACACAATTTAGCACTCAAAGTCAATCTCACTATTAACAAAAGTGCCAATTATAGAAACTTAGAACCTAGTCACTGCCACTACCCTTATTTGCATTTGTTCACGCACACTGTGACCAATAACCACTCATATCATGCATTAACTTTCTCACAATCAAACTTTCTCTCACTACTCTCTCTAAATTAGGGCAAATTGTGCTTATAGCTTCAAAGCTTTATCTTTCCTACTCAAACCAATCACAAAATACTGGTTTAGTTTTAGAGAACTTTTTTATTACTATAAGGTAAGAAATCATCCTCTTAAAACTTCCGAATTCAATTTCTCACTAGTTAAAACTAAGAGAAAATAGGGTAGAATTGGAGATTAAGGCAGCACTAGACTTACCCAACAAGTAACAGGTCAAAAATGACAAACTTGCTCTTGAAACTTAATGCCGTAGTAGAACCCACACTCTTCTCCATGCCAGACATTCCTTTCTTTTCTTTTCCACGAGCAGACACATCCCACTTAATTAAGTTTCTGCACCGTGTGCTGCGGCATA